TTTACTTCTTACTCTAGTATGAGGTTGAAATATGGAACACACGTGTTTACTTTTCTATCGCTAGTTTTATTTTATGTTTTAAAATCAATAACACCGTCGCCAGGTTATCTAACTTTTTATTCACAACAAACAAACATATTTAAAAGAGATTTTGATTCCATTCACTTGTTACCACTAGATGTCACTAACCCTTGCATTTACTTATATAAGTTACTTCAAGGAACAAGCGAGAAGTTCTATCATCATGCTCCAAGAACTTTTCGCATGTTTTTCGTAGTAACTTTCATGAATAAATGCAAGTTTTAGTGACATCTAGTTGTAACAAGTAATTGCAGCAAAAAGCTAATTTCTTTTTCAAAAATTGGCATATGAAAATATTACATTAAGTTTAAGCTTTGTTTCAAAGCACTTACTAGAAAATGAATCTACTTTTTTAAAAGTTTGTCACTTGTAATTCCCCAGATGAGCAATCCGTGCATGAAAGCTACCAGTTGAACAAAATAAAAAGGTAACTTTGGCTGGCAAAATGGCTCTAATATTTTGAAAATAGATTTCAAGATACTGGTCATAAATAAGTCGCACTGAAATATAATGTCTGATACCAGATTTCAGTTTACGGATTCACTCTACAACTATGTGAAGTTAGGTTATATGATTCTTTCCTGTGAAATTAACATGGAAGTGAAAATGAAAGCTAGGTAATGTAATATAAGACTTCATATAATATTTGTTTTTGTTGAGAACGTCTTCTCATTGCATAGAGAACAACTATATGGCTAGAAGGTGCGATGAAGCAGCACATACATAATATTGACGTTTAGAGCGCATGCTTGTTACAACCCCATAACTAATGTCCAAACAGGAAACCTGCACAGCTAACATCATTTTTCATTCCGTAAAAAAGTCCCGCTTTTCTAAAACCTCTTCAGTATTTATCTCTGGTTCCAGCTTCTACAACGTTACTTTGAAATAAGTGTTTTAAGAAGTTTATAGTAATTGTAGAAGCTTAGCAGTTAAGTACGCATTAAAAAGATTCCGAGGGGATATTTTTGACTGAATGATATCTCTTTATTCAATACATTTAGTGAATATGAATTATTTTCAATTACAAAAATGTCTAAGCTATTTTGCATCATCTTTTATATACAGTTACGGATTGCAGTATAAACTGTTGATAAAAAAATCCATCTTTTTGGAATTTTCCTCCTAGAGCATAGCATCAATGCACTAATAAAAAACTATGTAGTTAAGCCTAAAGCCTATCAGTTCATACCTCAAATATATATGAAATTGCGGTCCAGTTACTTTAGCAATTGTTACTCTCATATCTTCGTTTATTTTATACAAACTTTCTCCGGAAATGAGGAAGAACTAAATAAACAGAGAAATGTTGTGTAGAGGCATATTTGTTCATTATTAGTTTTCATATGCAAATATTGATATGTAGTGTGAGCTTCTGAATGGACAGTTTGCTTGAAAAAAATTAGGTCCGAACGACATTTCGAATCTCTTGCATTTGCCTTTTTCATGCAATCAGAAGAGTACCGAAACGTCATCCAGACATAATCCTTTCCAAACAGATTGTCAATTTAAAAGAATACATCAGTGTCAAACCTATATATGTATAAAATCCTGATAAACAGATAAACACTGTTCCATTATTTACATTTAAATACTTATCGCTGAGTCTACTAGGTTAAAAAAATATTTAAATGAGCAACGTAGAGTAAAAAAGGGAAAATAGCCTAACAAACAAAAACAACAACAACAACGAAAATGTGGATTTGGCAAGGGTTCGTTACAGACTTTTACTTGCGGCAGGCCTCTAATTAAAGAAAACGAAAAGTAAATTTCAACAACCGGATGAGTGAGCTGGCAAAAGGCTTTCAACGTTTCAACGTGTGGCCCATTGAGTGAGAGTTCTACACGCGTTTTATATGACGTCACTCTATTACATGTAGCAGTTCGCTGCACTTCTGTGTATAATTAAGTCATGCGGACTTTAGAACGTTGCTTAGTTAAGCGATTTTCAGCGTAGATCCACTGTTTACCTTTAAACTGGCGTGACATTTATGTGCATAAATTAATTTGTTAAGAATGCAATACACATGATAAAATAAAGCATCAGTAGATCTAGTATAAACCTTCTAAGAACACTTACTTGTATAATACTTAAAAATAATTATTAAACTTCTTACAATCAAACAGCCAATCCCAACAGTGGATAAAACGCAAACCTCTATGGCACAAGGGAGGATGAAGCAGCGCATATAATGCTAACGTTTAAAGCGCGTGATCCTTAACCCGCCCATTACTGATCTCCAACATGATACCTGCTTACCTTTAGGATTTTATTTTATACATGAAGAGACTGTTTACTATAACAGACGATCGCAGTTTGATTTTTGTTACAGTTTGTATAACGTTGCATTGAAATTAGCCATTTTAAGGAGTGTATATCGTAAGAGTAGTTTAGCGGTAACGTTCGAATTATAAAGACTTTAAGCCATGTGTTCGCAAACTTTCTCAGCACAAGGCTGCTAAAAACATTCTACATCCTAACGTATACATACTGAGCACCTTAACAGTGTTGTGTATTTGCTGCGGTTCCCAGTCTGGGTACCCATGTTTGAAGGTTTTAAAGTGACACTGATGACTAAATAACCAATTGAAAAACATCTCATTAATAGTTGTAAGCTGTAAGACAATAATTTTCACTTTTGAAAGTTTGATTTGTTAACTACATTGAGGTTACTGTGTGTGTTTGTAATGGGTTATAGCTTGTTGACTAGAAACAAAATTAAGAGGATGTTTTAGTTGATGTTCGTTCGTTACTAAAATAGCTAACTCGCCGCTAAAGGCGCCATAAATTTCAAAATTATTAGTGATTTTCGCCAAGTTTTATAGAAGATGTGTTTTAAAACGTTCGTTGATGCGTGCCACCATTAGGGTAGGGCGAGGCGTCAAACCGTTCAGTGAAATTAGTATACTTTATTTTTTACGTCTTCGTGGGTAAACAATATCGACTAAACAACTACTTCCGTTATTACTTCGCTTTTTTCCTGGGCTGCAGCCTCTTTGGCGTCCAGTGATAAGCTTCAGAGATCATAATGACAAACTTCGGGGCTCGATCCCTGCGGCAGACACAGCGTAAATAGACCGTTATATAGGTTTTTCGTATAAAACAAGCTTCCTTTGCTGTAAACCATTACTTGTCTAGTTTTATTTTTTCTGATATATCGCTAAAGTATTACGAATTTAGTGTATGATCCTTATACTTTGTGGGAGAGAGAAATACAGACACCTAAAATTATTCACTTAATCAAAAATACAATAATTGAGAAAGTTAATTTTCACGTTTCTCATCACTAAATTCAATAGTTCTGACTCTTCTCCCTACTTGGAACTCTTAGACGAGCAAAATATATAGTCAATTGCGATAAAAAAATTAAAGGTCCATATATAGTGAAGAGATTTAGTTTAATTACACGTGGGATTCCATTTGTACCAGCCCTGGCGTGGCCTGGTGGTTAGAGCGCTCGCAATCTGTTGGTCGCGGGTTCGAATCCCCATCACACCGAACATTCTCGCCTCTTCAACTTTGGAGGCGTTATAATGTTACGGTCAATCGCACTATTCGTCGGTATAAAATTAGCCCAAGAGTTAGCAGTGTAAGGTGTTGAATAACTGCCTAGAGTTATCACTGCTAAGTTAGGGACGGATAGAGCATATAGCCTTTGTGCGATATTCCAAACAAACCAAATCCATTTGGATGGTTAGAATTATCCTGTTATGAAGTCACAAATTTCTAAAAACCCAAGTCTTTCCTTTGTAATTATAAGCTGTATCACGAGAATGTGGCTGTTTAAACTAAAACAGCTGATTACTGGATATCTATGCATAAACTAAACCTGTAGCTATGTTTATTTTTTATTTTGTTGCAATAACTATAGAATTTTAGGCTTAATACTGTTAAGCATTATCAACTGTAGCATGGCAGGAAAAGAAGGGACTAATTATAAAATGCATTCACGAAATTCATCTCTCTATTGTCCCCCCCTCCCCACATTCCTATTCGGGTTTATATATCCATGAATATCACGACGTTGTACTTGTTTTTCACCATCTTATATTCTGAGGAGCTCCTTTCATCAGCGATTTCTTAAACAAGCTGTTTTACATTTCAATGACTCTAGCTAGATAAAATAACGCCTCTAAATTTGAGGATTAATCCTTTGGTGAGGAGTAAAAAGTGCCTGGAATGTGAAAGCTATGATCTACCCTTGTTTAGCTACTCGAGATCAATTGATTCATTTTATCTCGCGATTTGCTAACGGTATTAAATAACTAGAGCACTTGCGTGCAATAGAAATGTGTTCGGACTTAATTTAGACGAATTGAATACATGAAAAGGTAATATCGAATTACATTGATTTATTGTATTTCTTTTCGGTTTGAAGTTACTAAGTCTGCATTATTTGAACTAGCCTTAAGCAATGTAAAAAGTTGCTGGAGGAAACTGAACTATATATTTGTATGTAATTGCTGTTCCATGTTACTCGTGAATGATTACAGTACGCAAAAAAAATATGTAATTATACTGCCTCAAGTTCAGTAGCAAATTTAGTAAAATATTTTGGTCAGTCGCTACCAAAAGAAAGTCGTGAAATGTCGTGTTTATTTGCAGAACAGCACGTGCAGATAATACCTTCTTTTTGTTAGAGCAACTGACTACAGTGTACGATTCCCGTCACTACCAATACCAACTACAATGACGTATTTCTTTTGGACCCTTTTTATTTCGTGACTAGTTTCAATTAACGAATTCTAACTTGTTGCTTCAGTTACAGTCACATAGTTGTAGTAACCTACCTCAATCAGTTGCAGCAGACACATGTAGTAACCGAATCGATAGAGTTTCATCCCTCTAGCGGGATCGAGGATCTTTGAGCAAGTTGTTGGCCACCGTTCCACTCAGAAAGCTTGATATCAGAGGAGAGTAGGCAGCTTTCTTAACGGTCTCCTATACAGCTGTCACGAAAATGACATGCTGCTCAATAACAATTAAAAACTTAGATTAGAAGAACGATCATCCAACTAGATATCAGAATTGTGAGGAGGTTCATGCTGATTTTTTGTTTCAGAAAATAGTTACAAACTTCTCTTGCTGTTGTGAACTGTTTAAATACTTATAAATCTGTAGTTCTGCACAGGAGAAAAGAAAATCAGGAGAGACTAGCAATGTTTGCACCGGCATTAATATTGTATTGTTTTCTCCTCGTTTGTACTCGTCTCGCTTATGTAGAATCAACTTTTGTAAATGATTATGTAAAAAGTTTTGTGTCGCTTTCCAGAGCACCAAACTCTACAGCATTAGCTTCACCTGATATTTTTAAATCCAAACTGGACCCAGAACAGACAGGTTGTCCGTGTTTATCGAACCCAGAACAGAAACGTTGTTCTTGTGGTCCACAATTAGACGAATGGACAATATGCCCTTGTTTTCCAAGCCAAGCACCCCAGAATAAAACGTGTACATGTTGGAACACTTTAGAGATGGGCGTGTTTCAAAACTTCACTCAGGATCTCGCGAAAATGTAAGTAATAATTGAAATTTTCTTATTACGAAGTCCATATAACTTCAACATAATAGTGGAATAATCATTTTTAATAGCGTACCTCAGAGGACGTTAACATCCAAGTATATTCTGGGCTGTTGCCTCTTTTCTTAGTGGGTTCCAGATGTATAACTTGATTCTCTAGGTTTCGAACAACTGATTTTCATAATAGATCTACGTGACTAAAGTTATAAAACAAGTTGAACTACACTATTTGATAGTAGAATCACCAATATTGCCTGTTAACTAATTCTTGAATATTATTCTAAACATAATATTGTGTTAGGCTAATTTTTGAAAAGTAATAACTAAAAAGTAGCTTATAATTAATGAAGTTTTTGTATTTTTGTGTAATTTGAGACATAAAGATAACAATCTCCTCTTTATAAAAACTAAAATATTTTTTATGCGTTAGTCTAGTATTATTCTTTTCTATCAATTCTTAGTCTGGATAACAACTAATCTTTCTGGTTTTAACTCTTTTTACACCCAAGTCCTAAAGTCCAACACAGCGAATAAAGATTGTTTTTCTGAATTACTACGCAAATTTAGTCGTAGTGTCATACCCTTGAACGACCTAAACCAATACAGAAATAAATTAAGATCAGGGTTTCCTTTAAGCCTAATTTGTTAACATCAATGACATACTGTACAGGTTGCTGTGTAGAATTAAACAAATGCACAAATAAATTAATATTTATCGATATCTTTATTTTCCATAGTTATTATTAGTATTTTTGTTTTACTTTTACAATCAGTTCTAGCATGCTACCTTGAAATTCATCTTTATGGCACTTGTTTGAAAATAAACTTCCAGACAGCAGAATTGACGTTGAAGCTGTCCAGAAGATGAATTTCAGATGATGAAGAAAAAAAAACCTTTCAGTCTCTCGCAGATATGGTAGATTTATTAGGAGTCTCTGGGTCTTTTTGTAATGTGCTTTATTTAATAACCAAACAACTTATTTTGACTTTATAACGACTCACCTAACATTTATTAAAATATACCGTCCATCCGAAAGCGGAACAATATGTCAGACTAGGATCTCATTTACTGTCACCTAAAGTTCTTTGTTGCAGAAAACGGTCATTTGTGGAGCGTGGTTACACAACGTTGAAGGCAGGAATTTAAGATCTGCACTCCTTAAGAGGCTTATATGGATTTAGTGTGGCGTATTTCATTGAACGTATATGTTATTCTTCAGTAGTTGATAAAAACGACACATTTATGTTTTTGGTGTTGTTAAGAAGTTTTGTGCTTATTTGACTACATCTACTCTAAATTTACTTAATATGTGTCTTGCATATGAGATATGTTATTAAATCCTTCTCTAAACGATTTGTTCCCACACTGATCAAGAAATATCGTGAACGAGATTAAGACAATTTACTGTTTCCTAAAAATACAAAAATGTATTGAGAAATACAGGTCGAAATTTACCTTCTGATAATTTCTTCAAAAATATTAAAGCGCTTTAATCAAATAATAACTCCTTTTTGGTTACTCGAATAATTTCCAGTTTTATTCGAGGGTTTATGGTTCGCGGCCCGTTGCCGCAAAAAAAAAAAAACGTTCTGTAATTTGGGGCCATGGGTAGTGAGATCAATGATTAAATCTTGTGCTATATTTCAGTAAGGCTGTTCAAACTCACCATGGGTATGAGATCAATGATTAAATCTTGTACTATATTTCAGTAAGGCTGTCCAAGCCCACCATGGGTATGAGATCTATGATTAACTCTTATATTACTTATCAGTAAGGCTGTCCAAACCCTCAACGATTAAATATGTTGTATATTTCAATAAGACCGTCCAAGCCCACCATGGGTATGAGATCTATGATTAACTCTTATATTACTTATCAGTAAGGCTGTCCAAACCCATCAAATATATGAGATCCAAGATTAAATTTTGTATCATGTTTGAGTAAGTCTGTCAAGATCCATCGTGTGTATAAAAACCATGATTAAATCTTATGTTACATTTCAGTAACTTTATACAGATTCATCAAAGGCTCAAGGATAATTTTCCTATCTTTTATTATTTTGCTTTATTTAACCTGAATTTTTCAGTTTGTTTTTCTCTCATTTGTTTAAAATTTGAAAAACTATTGAGAACCAAGTCATCTTTAATAGACAAATATTTTTCAGTTGATTCCTCAAGAACTGTACTAATTATACTATAAAATACCCTAATTCATTATTTTCATATACATTAGGGTGAAAGAAAGCAAGTATTCACGATAATAAACAACAACCACAACAACAAAGAATCTAATGTATATACAGTACTACATTATTTCTAACCACGCAACATGATTAAAAGCAAACCTGGAAAGTTGTGACGTAAGTACGAACTCGAATAGAGAAATAAGGAGAGATGGCCGTAATTACGGGGATATCCAGTTCTTTACCTAAAGCTTTTTTTCGAAATGATTACAACTAAGCCTATATTACCTTATTGCTTTTTGGAAGAATTACCGCCAGTAAATCTAGGACTTTAACTTAGGGGGTGAGACAGTGGAGAAAAAGCTTGGACAGTTGATTTGTTTTTTCTCATTTCAATGTTACAAAAACAACAACAACAACAACAAAAACACGATATGTTACTACCACCACAGATGAATGTTTAGTTTTAATTTCCAAAATATATTATATTTTCTGTACTTTATGTTTTTACTTGTAAATTTAGATGAAAATTCTCGTTGATGATTTAAATTTTATCAAGTTTGGTCTCTATCGTGCATTAGGAATAGCTGCATTCATAATTGAGCTAAATATTCTTTAAAACTTTGGTTAAAAGTTGACTTAAGTCTGATAGAAGCATTGTCACACATGTAAAGTGTTGTTTTTTTATGCTTCATGAGATGGTGATGTCAAATGGGTGTTTCTCTAGCATCACAGGTATTCAATACTGCACTTAAGAAATATTAGTGCTAGAATAAAATACACACTTATAATCTTCAAAAGTCTCCCAATGGGACAGCGGTAAGTCTACAGACATACAACACTTTAACTCGATGTTCGATTCTCAGCTGTGGATACAGCAGATTGCCCAATATGGTTTTGCTCTAAAATAACCAAACAAACAAACAGTTTTTTTCAAAAAGAAAAAAAGAGCTATAATATGCAAACCATGCTATTTTCCACAGTAATTTAAATATTATCTGAAGCCGTGTCTTGTTAACAGAATGGCTATTTTAAGTTCTGAAAATATTCCAACCATGCGATTACCTCAGATAATTTTATGTACTGTGAAGATATTTCTTTTCAACAACATTCCTATTATATTATTGCGTACCTGCTTGTTTGTTAATTTCCGATAGAAATTCTTTCTGAGAAACTTCAACGATACAAGTTCTTTCTTGGTTAAACCAGTTATTTCTTCCTCGATACAAACTTTTAGCACACAGTAATTTTACAATCTTGATAACAAAACACACATTAGCTCGAAACAGAATCGTAAATAACCCTGCACTCTCGTCATTCAATCATCCCGCAGGCTTTCACTGCCAGGGTTATATATATATACTAAAAAAAGAGGGTAACTAGATCACACTCGAGCTGGCG